TGTTTTTTATTTGGGTTTTAATATAAATAATATAATTTTTTGTTTATTAATAAATGACACTAAAGACTAAACTATGATCCAAAATTTATGGAAAAAAAGTTACTTCGAATACTTCTTATTAAACTAAATTGATCGGGGGGAAACAAAAATATTTTAAACTAAAAAATCATAACTATATTAATTACTCTTTATTACATCATGAAAAAGAAAAAAACACCCTAAACATTGTGTAAAAAACAATTCCAGATAAGTAGATAACATAAAATATACTCCCTCCGTCCTATAATGATCTTTCCAGTTCGCAAAACGAAGAAAAATCTCAAGTTTTTTCAATCTATTTTATTTAAATATTAATATAGAAATATAAAATAAAACATACATATTTAAAAACTACATCAAAAGTTCAACAAAACAAGTGATGACAAGAATATTTTATTTTATCATATAGGCCATGAAAAAACACAAATAAATATAAATTCCCGTGAAGTTGGAATAGTGCTCCGGGAAGATCATTATAGGACGGAGGGAGTAAGTATTAATTAAAATAGAACTAATAAAATATTGATGTTTACCTTATATAAATTTAGATTAAAAAATATTCTATATAACTATTTATCCATAATTTTTAAAATAGTTTCCTAATTTTTCATGTAGATTAATATACAAAAAAATGGGATTATTCATATTAAAAAGTTGAAGAAAAAATAATAATGAATATGAATCATAAAAATAGTGAGATGAAAAAATGAAATAATTTATAAACTATAATTATGAACATAAAAGTTGTAATTAAAAAAAGTTGTAATAATAATAATAATAATATTTGTTTAGAGTGATTTGTTAGAAAGTACGAAGAATTTGAAGAAAATAAATATATTTGGAAGAAATTAGAAGAAACTGGAAAAACTGGAAAAACTGAAAAAACTAGAAGAACAGGAAGAAACTAGAAAGAACTAGAAAGAACTGGAAGAAAATAAAAGTTAAGAGGTCAAGATCTAAAGAACAGACCCTAAAGGGAGGGAGGACGGTGAGTGATGTGGCAGTTTCATGGAGTAAGCCTCTCAATGAGTCGGGTTCGGGCCGGTCCATAGTGTTCTATTTCCGTACCTATTTTAAAAAAATTTACCCTGACTCATACCCATTTACCCGACGGGTCTTAAAGTTTAATCCTATATTTGGATTCATTGGGTCTCGGTATCGGGTCGGGTATACCCATGATAAAAGTTGATGTCTTTTATCTTTCTATAATTAAAAAACAATTCGTGAAAATACTATGAATGAAAAATACTTTAATTAAATACAAATAAAAATAAGACCAATACGTTATTGCAACAAAAATCGGCCTTTTCACCAAAAATCTACAACAAAAATTTTAGATTCATAATCGATCTTCTTGTTAGATCCATTCATGTTGCAAGAATGTTCTTTATAACATTACAACTAATTCCAAACTATTTATTTTATACTACTGCATAGCATAAACCAACGTGTACATGCCTCTAATGTGGTGAAATAAATACAAATATATTTGGAAGCCACACAACGAGCGAATAAGATGAGTAGTGAAGATGAGAGGTAGAGTTTTGTAATATTTAATATTATGTACATAATATATATTTAGTGGTCGTTATATATATATATATATATATATATATATATATATATATATATATATATATATATATAA